CGCAGCTTCGGCTTCGCCTGCACTTGCATCGTTGTGGGGCACGTTGCCGCTACAGAAGGATGGCCGCCAGGTAGCAGCCCACCGGTCCTCGGCCGCCCAGTCGCGACCCGTGGTTCTGCCTTTCGCAAACTTGATGTATGGGCTGCACCAGCGCTGTCCGGATCCATGCACTCGGGCCGACAGTTGCACACGATACTTCTTCCGAGCCTTGTGCTGATGCACACTCACCAGCTTACCACCACGATGAGCCAAGGTTGCCAGAATGGTCGCCAGGGACTTGTCGCGCAGCTTAAGAGCCATGGGCGTGGACCGCGACCTCTTTATGTGTGGCAGCCGTTGGGGCTGATGTGGGCGAAAAAAATTGAAATGTTGGTTCTGATTTTTTTTATGTTCTTCAACGAGCTCGGGTATTATTCCGCCGCAGCAAAATAGTTCTGAAAGAGACCTTTTTTCGANCAAGTTCATCAACGAGCTCGGGGATGATTCCGCCTACGGTAAAATAAATCTGAAAGAGAGTTTTTTTTTTTTTTCTTAATATCACACAACAAATCCATCTCTATCTATAGAAATACAACTAAGATAGATTAGCAATGAATCCAAATCTGCATTTTTTTTCGCGGGGTGTGCCGTAGATGTTGAGATATGGCGATTCTTGTGGGATGAAGTGCCTTCTGCTATGATTGTAATGGGGGCATATCTTTCTTGAAAGCCCAAACCCCGCGCTGTGAACGGGCTTATTCGATCGCTGCTGATGATGAGAGCTTTCTCACGAATATTTTGGTTCCGCTCAATTCTTTGATGAAGGTTATTTGTTTTTTCAAAGCACCCGTTTTACAACGTTGTTGCCAAGCGACGAAAACCCAACCCCGATGGCAAACNCAACTAAGATAGATTAGCAATGAATCCAAATCTGCATTTTTTTTCGCGGGGTGTGCCGTAGATGTTGAGATATGGCGATTCTTGTGGGATGAAGTGCCTTCTGCTATGATTGTAATGGGGGCATATCTTTCTTGAAAGCCCAAACCCCGCGCTGTGAACGGGCTTATTCGATCGCTGCTGATGATGAGAGCTTTCTCACGAATATTTTGGTTCCGCTCAATTCTTTGATGAAGGTTATTTGTTTTTTCAAAGCACCCGTTTTACAACGTTGTTGCCAAGCGNCATCATTGCGTGATGCAAGACGAATGAACAAGCCATGGTGGTAGCGAATCATGCGCGGTGGCACGACATGTTTGGGGGAGACGACTAGCGTTTGGGGTGCAGCTCAAAATCAACCGCCCGCTCAAAACAGCTGGCTTTGACGGCTGCTCGTTTCCAAGCTTCTATCAACCCAGCTGTAAACTTTCCACAAGCTCGAAAAGCTGACTGCCGGCAGTGGGGTTTCCCAAGCTCCCACACAGCTTCTTTTAAGAGGATTTACTTGAGGAGCCCAGAACACCACACTGAACAAAAAAAACATGTCTACACACAACCTTCCCCGCACGGGACCTAGCTACCACCTGACGACTGCGCGTTTCCAAGCTTCGACAAGCCCAGCTACAAACTTTCCCCAAGTTCAATAAGCTGACTGTCGGCTGTTGGGGTTTCCAAGCTCCAACCTCCCACTCAGCTTAATTAAGAGGTTTTACGCGAGGAGCCCAAAACACCACACACACCAAACAACAAAAACGATGTACAAAAAATCTACACACAAACTCCCTACACGGCAACTGGCTGCCATCTGACGGCTGCGCATTTCCGAGCTTCGACCAGCCCAGCTGTAAACTTTCCCTGAGCACGAAAATCTCACTGCCGGCTGTGGGGTTTTGGGTTTTCCAAGCTCCAACCGCCCACACAGCTTAAGAAGAGGTCTTACTCGAGGAGCCCAGAACACCACACACACCAAACAACAAAAACGATGTATACAAAATCTACACACAATCTCCCTATACGGCACGATGGCGCAAGCATAGACCACAACGATGTGCGCATGCCCGTTCTACTTATGCCTAAAAATCAAGGAAAAATAGCGTATGGAGTCAATTGAAGGGCAGCCACTCTCTCTACATCCACCGAAACTTGCAGCAGGAAGGGAATGCGCTACGTATCGTCGCTGAGCGGCACTTGTGTCGACACGCCCAAAGTCATTGCTGTAAGGCGTAGCTCTCCACTGTAGCTTAAGGCTAATCGAGGGTCACCACCGCCTCCGGAGGGATGTGCAGATCCGCCAGGAGGCCCTCCACGTGGAACACGAAGCTCCCTGGCCCGGACACAACCACCTGGCAAGCGGGGAACGGGGGCACGCGAAAAACAAACTTCAATTGTCCCTGCTGCTGTTGTTATTGTTTGTCCATTACCCGAGCCGTTGTGTAGGGATATATATCCACCACCAAAGCTGCTCCACGGCTGTAAAATGCATCATGGCCTATCGATCCCAGTACCTCCATGGTTTCACGTCACACCGCAGGCCGTCCACCCACTCCTGTGTGGCGTTTCCTCACCTGGAGGCGTCCGCTAGAAGTTTCGGTGCCAACAAGCTCGCAAAGAGCGTCGGTCATGCCGTTGAGGTTGCACGGCGGGTGAAGCTCCGAGTTCGCCGGTACCCGTGCCTCGGCCTTCTTGGCGGCGGCTACGGCCGTCATGACAGGCTCGCCTAGAGCCATCTCAAGGATTTCCATCGTCAGCTTGGATTGCTGCAGCCCGGTGCCCGACTGTGTACCATCCAAGAGTTTATACCATCCAGGAGTTTATGTGTAGTTCACGTGCGTTCGTGGTGGCATGTTTGTAATGTTGTTCGCGTAGCGTGCCGAGGTATTGATTGGTGTACCGGAAGAAGAAAGCGCGAAAAGGAAGGAACGCAGAACAACAGGAGGTTGATCAGGTGCTTGCCTTAGTTGTTTGCTTTGAGACACAAAACGAATTTTTGTCTCAAGGCCGCGGAGCAGATTCGTGAGGGAGGAAAACGCAAACAACCTAAGGCTGGGTGTGCCGTCGTCGTTGCTGGGTGGTACGGGTCGATGGACTGCTCGACTGCGCACGAGCAATGAAGAATGACAACGGGGGGCATGACGAGTATTGGGACCGTGGGGGTAATACGTGTCGACCTGGGCGGAGTTGCTCAAGAGAACCGTATGTTTGTTTCCAGTTTTTTAGGGTGCTGGAAGCGTCTGTCTACTGTACGGCCGCTATTACTCCGGACATGCTACCGGTGCCAACGAGGGGCTTGCTGAAGCATTATCATGGGGGCACGCATCCTTGACATGCGATGCACACCATTCGCATCAGATGTTTCAAGTTGCTTATCCCTCTTGGGATCCATAGTCTACGGCAAGCGAACGGACAGGGAAACGAGCAATACACAAGTCCAGCAACAAACCAACAACCCGACACTCGTACACAACTTGGGCCCTCTCACGTCATCGAGGGGCGATCCTCCCGGCTGTCTCGCGCCTCGCATCGCTGGCCCGTCCCTCGATGCCCATCGCCGCCCCTTTCTCTGCGCCCCAACAGCCTTGGGTGGTGGGCCTTGCCCGTTGCCCGAGGAATCATCCGCGGCACCATTCCGCGTACCGATGTTCGACCGGTAAGAAGAATGAGACCGGGGGGGGGTGGACTTGCTTCTGCCGCCGCCGCTGCCGTCACCACCACCATCATCACCACCACCGGCAAAGAACGTGCTTCTAGCATTTTTTGCCGCGGCGCTACTCGAAGTCGCTAACCCTCCGCCGCCGCCGTCTCCGTGCTGACGGTGCTTCCCGGCTTTTCTTCTCGTGTCTGCGGCGGTGTCGCTCGCAGACCATGGAACATCGCCACCGACGCCCGCCCGCTCCTCCTCGCTGATGGTGTTCTCGCGACCAAGGTCTCCGCCGCCGCCGCCGCCGCCGGTCTCCAGGTCCCTGCTGCCGGCGCTGACGAACAAGCCGAGGCTGAGGGTGCTCTGGCTCCCTCGGGTGTGCGAAGAGTCTTCCTCCGAAACGCACGACAGCTCGCTGACGGACCAGAGGCGCGGCAAGTTGGCTGGTAAGGCGTCGTCGTCGTCGTCCTTGGCGTCCCCTGTATCGCTATCGACCTCTCGCTCGCCCAGCGGGACGAGGCCCGCGGCGGCCCCCTTCTTCATGAGCCTGGCCTTGGCGTGACGGAAGGCATTCCCGGGGACGTTGCGACGGGTGTTATCGCCGCTGATCAGGGCCGTGACCTCCAGCAGGCCGTTCGCTTTCGCCTGTTGTTCGGTGGTGGGGTGGCGAATTTGTCAGTTTTTTTGTAGATTTAAGCACAAGAGCAAGCCGAAAAGACGCTACGGTTTCCGAGGGACACGCGCAAGTCCCGCGACAATTGGTGCACGAGGTATGCACACGACCCACGCCAAAAATACCCCCTTGGGTCAGTCGACTGCTGCTCCGTAACAAACAATAAAAAAACTCCAGCGGAATAGACGGGCTTGTGCGGCACGAGATGGGAGCCTTTCCTAGCGCCAAACAGTTCCGCGAGACTAAGGTGATACTCGTTTACTTGGGGGGTCAATTCTGACTTAGACCTCTCGTGGAGATCACCAGGTAGAAAGCCGTCAGAACTACGCGGCGCCCGCCCACGCTGACCTGCAAAGCTGTGAGTTCGTCCGTGCAATAGAGGTCGGCCTCGACGCTGTTCTGCCACAGGAGCACCAGCCTTGAGTGTACCCCCGTTACGGTGCTGTGACTTCGACTGGTGCATGCGTCCGCAGATGCGGGCAAGCAAGCATTGCGGGGGGGCGCAGCACGACAAGACGAAGGTCGCTCGGGTCGTCAGGAACAAAACACCAACACGGCCGCTTTTGACACAAGCAGCAACATGATGGGTGCAAGCTATCACGTAGCACCTATCGTAACTTGGGTATTCACGACTCCGTATGTGAGGCTTCCTCCTGGAGTTGCAGTAGGACTGCCGCCTAGGAAGCAGCGCTACGTTGTGCCGTATATGACACAAGATAACACAACCCCTGGATCAGTTTTCAAAGCTCGATTACTCCAGGACGAAGAGAATGCATAAACGAAACGATAGGTTTTTGGAAAGCTCTCGACGAGACGGTTCCAACGCCGCCGTCTTCGGCGCCGCGACTCTTTCGATTGATGAGAAATCGAGATTTGACAATCGGTCCAGGAGGTGTGTTATCTTGTGTCATTTACAGTACATACGTGCAAACAACTATTTAGCACTGCAGTACATCAGGTTGCGTTCTCACTAGAGCGGATGTCATGCCGATGCTTCTCTCCGCTCTTGTGCTCTAACGTTCTTCAGCCAATCGGAGAGCTTCGCCCCACTGGAAACAACTCTGCTGCTACCCCAACCCTCTTTCGTGTTTCGAAGAGCCCCATCCCGAAGGGCCAGCAGCAACGAAGGGATTACATCAAAATGACTCGCAGACCAACCGTATGCTCACCTGCCCGGTGTGAGGTGGTCACGGATCATTTGTAACACTTTTTTGGCGTGTCAGCATGCGTGCATGAGTCGGCCATTACGCCGGCGACGAAGAGCCGCAAAGACGCGACAAGGGCCGGGGGGGGGGCGGGGGTGGACAGAACGGACGTCAGCACCGACACGCCATGGTCTGCGAGTACGACGCGAGGAGAACCCAAGCTGGCGTTCAAGGCGGTGCTGCGCCGCTGTTGCGCTGACACTGCCGGCAGCCGCCAAAGTTGCGGCATTTTTCATGGTAGGCAGGAGCGCGAAACTCCTGTCAGCGCGCTATTGTCGGGGGGTCGGTTCCTGTCAGGCAATCAAACCGGTAGACGCGAGCGACCATGAACGTGCACGCGTCGAGCTCGGTTTTCTCCGAGCTTACACACTCACTTGGGTTAACACCGGTTCCGGCCGCGATCATCACCACGTTCCGGTGTGCAGGCGGCGGGGTGAGCCGGTGCTGCAGGAACGGCCCCTGCAGCTGCACTGCGGGGTTGTCCAAGTTCTGGTGACCTCCCCCACGTACCCAACCACAACACGAACAAGGGGCACGGATAGTCGGTGATACTCGTATCGATCGTTCCTCCCAAAACAGTCGATCAAGTGCATAGGTGGATCCATCGGTGGATCTGTTGGTTGGACGATCCCCTATGGGCGATCGAGATAACTTGTTGCTGGCCGAGATGAACAATTTATGGTTTTTGTGTGTCGAGCAATGGCCAGTTATCGCGACGGTGGGTACAACCTACAATACCGGGAGAGAAGCAAGGGGCATAAGGCGGAGGGGAACGGTCTTATCCCGGTACAGTTGGGCATCAGGAGCGCACAGCACAAAAAGTGGCGCAAAGATGGCGGGCGCTGGCGCTGTCCGGGTACAATCCCTTAGGCAGTTCGTCACGGACCAAGCAAGTCCCACGTGCACGCCGACTCTCCTCTTGACAAAGCCATCAACAACTTGATAACAATCCCCGTTGAGCGAAAAGAGGGTATCGGCCTCGATAGACGTTGAGGAGGTTGTACCCGTCATGAAGATGATGTCCGCAGATACGTGACCCTCCTCTCTCCAAGTCTTTGTTTCCCCCACAGATCAACTAGTCTGTCTTGTTGTCCACCACTCCACAAGCCTTACCTTGATAAGCCGAGCCAGGAGGCCGCTCATCAATCCGTCGGGGTAGAGCCTGATCCGCATCTCCACGCACAGGACGCCCTCGCTCGACTCGAGTGCGGGTACCACCCGCCGCTTTCCCTCCTCGTCGAGAACCCGTACCGCGAAAGCATTGTACGCCCGCTCTACCACGGTCTGCGGGTTGTTGTTTGTACCGGTTGTTCCGCCACAAGAAGTTCGGCCGTGTTTCGCCCAAGACCAAAATACGGGATAAGGGTAGGGGGCCGGAGGTTAAGAAAGGGGCGTGATGTTCTCTATCTACACTCATGACGAGCGCCGTAGACAGGCTTTTGGTGATTGCGGGACGGTCTCTGCCAAGAGGACGCCGGACAGCAGTGGGTAAGCAGGTACCGCCGGACAGGGCAAGATTTAAACAGGTATCGTCAAGCGCACGACGATTTCAAGAAGTGAACCGTTGTATCCGAAACAGCAGCAGCAGCAGCAGAGCAGCAGCAGCAGTAGCTGTCGTCAAGAACGGAGGATGAATTCGGCGCCAAGCACCATTTCCTCCTGCCTGCCAAGCGATCAATCTTGAAGAGAAATGAGACACGCGCGCAACCTCCAAAATGGTCTCAGTCTGGCGCAATCAGCACTCACCATCCCCGCCTCTTGAGTCAACCGCATTTTGAAGTGGCAGACCCCCTCCATTGAACCAACCTGTTACAACGCGTACAGACCGACCGACAGCGGCGCACAAAGACAAACTAACAATGAAGAAGACGCTTGGGCGGTAGGGGGTGGATGCATGCACGTTCCGGGTTGAGTTCCCCCCCCGACATATTGTTGACTTCCAAGGAACGTCTGATTTCGTTAAACTGCCACCATATTGACAACGCTGGCAGCAACAACTGCCCTACCCTCCCCCGCGTTGTCATTCTGCGCTCGTTGTTCGATATCCTCCGCGAGTGGCGGGGGATTTCTTGTTACTTGTTCAGGCCAGCTTGCTTCCACGGAAATCTGTTTCTGTGCCTCGAAGAAAAGTGGGCGAAGAGGTGCTGAACAGATGGAGGTGAGGACGGCTTTTCAGCGTGAAGATAAAATAACAGGACGGGTACCGGAAGAGGTCAGAACACAGTTTCAATATCAAGACAACGCGCCAATAAGAACAAAAGCAAGCCGAAATCACAATCCACACGGGTGGAGAGGAACAACACAATTGTATCGATTCGCAAGTATTTCTCGCCCCGAATACGAACCTCTAGGCCCCCTCAAAACCTTATGCCAAAGAGTCCTACCAGTGGACTACAGTGTGGGTCCTCAAACGGGTGGGTTGTACGAGGAAGGATTCTAGACCATATATTGGGCGGGTGAAATCTCACTTGTTTCTATACTTTGAACAAGGCGGGTGCCCGCTATGGGGTGGGTGAATCGTCTTGTCACCTACGGTACCCGCTACTGTATCGTGACCCTCTGCAAGTATATCCAACACAAAGACAGCCGCTAGACGAACACATGATCTACATCTACCTGTGTGACTTACCAGGGCTGCTGCCGTTCCCGGACAGGCGAACACAAACTTGTGCACAGGCCGCCCGCCGCCGTCACACAGCTTCTCGTGCAGCAGCAAGGGACACACGTGGAAGAGATGTAGCGGGTTCCTCGTTCTTGCCACCCTGCGCGAGGTTCTGAGCGTGATTTCTTCCTGGTGAAACCGCGAAAACGAAACACACAATACATGTCACGTCGAAGGAGGGAAGTAGCATGAGTTAGGTCGGTGGGATGAAGGGTGGTGTGAACGCATTTACCATGCACGGCCGTAGTATTCCGACGTAAGACCCTCGTACCGCCACCACATGACGGGGCATTCATAGCTGTGTGGACAGTTACACGAAAGGGCGTTCGGTGTGTGTGTGAGTGTGTGTGTAAAGTTCGGTCATGTTCGTGTCGAGAAAGGGTGTTCTAGCGGTAGCGAGCGCACGATGCTCCGATGAACCTCCACCAAGCATTCGTGACGGACTCGTACATATGTAGTACACACGACCTACAGTACTAGGCTTTCCTCTTGTTCTCGTACCGATAAAAGGGTACATTATTTCGCCCCCCCCGCAAACCGATGTCACACCACGCTTCAAAAATCTTTCAACTCTCAGATACGCCAAGTACCCTGAAAAAACGAGATACCAATCCTCCCAGTGCGCTTTGACCTACCTGATGGAGGCATTCGGTCTCGGCCGGCAGCGATTGGAACAGAGCAATCAAGAGGTGTGCAGAGCCAACCGCGGTCGACCCAACCAAGAGAATACCCCACGTTGCCGACAACCAATTTCAATCCTCCTGTACTTTAGGCCACATGGCACCTGTTTCGAGTCGCTCTCATCACCGCTGGCCCAAAAAAACTCGATCTGTGAACCCAGCCGCTTGAGCATGCGCGCCCCCGCAGCCTTGATATTGACGGCCGGCTTCTCCGGTAGCGCGGACTGTCACCGCGCAGCACAAGGACACAAATGCAAAGCATGACGTCAACAAGACATAGCAGCACCCCCGTTCTTCAGAAGAAGGGAGCTTCGGTGTACCCTCTCACAACGATGGTCAAGAAACAACTCATGTGTTGGATACAAGATGTGGCAGTGCAAAGACGGGTGCCACGACTCTACCGCATCATTTTTCACGCCGGAAAAGACAGGCTTCGTGTTAAGTAGGGGGTACCTTACACCGACGTTGTCATTTGCGCCTCCACTTGTACAGCACCAGCACCAGCAACAACAAAAAGGAGCAAGCAGCGCACTAGCCGGCGCCGCATACTCCCTCCCGCTTACACTCTCCAGCTCAAGCCACCGCGCCAGATGCACTGAGATCGCCGCTGAAACCGGACTTGGTGCCAACATCGCGTCGTGCACCATCACCCGGCGTTCCGAACTTGTCGCAGCTACGTAACGCACCTCCATCCACCGGGGGCTAACAGCTCGATCCCAAGCCAAGGGGAAGATCAGCTCCTTCGGTTTGCCTTGCCACACTTCGCCCGCCGTCGCGAAACGCTTGAGGGCCGGTGCGGGGTGAGGCGGTAACGTCAGCGGCGCCCCCTCCTCCGTTGCAGCCGCCCCCTGGACTGCCGTTCTCCAACCCGTTCTGGCCGACGAATCACTCCCTACCTCTGGAGGAAACTGGGCGCTCAGGATGGCGGAGGCCTCCGCAGAAAGCCTGACTGCCGATCCCGCAGTCACGGTCGCCGACGGTTCCCCCGCTCCCCCAGACGGCAGCTCGGCCGTCTTGCTCCTGCTGATCTTCGGGATTCCGACGCTCACGCGACGGCCGAGACTACTTCTATCGCGCACCTTCTCGCCGCCTTCGGAGCCGCTGTCGTCAGAGCCGCTGCACGAATTGTTCCTTGCCCTGCCCCTTACGGACAACCGTTTCCCGCCGCCGCCGTCGCCGCCCACGCCGCCACAAGAACCGCCCCTGCCGGAATAACTATCGTCGCTGTCGTTGCTCTTTCCGGTGTCGCCGTTGTCGAGAAAGGGCGCGGGGAGGCCGAGGCTGGCGCTCTGCTCGCGCGCGGGCGTGGACGCCCGGGAGGAGCCGGAGTAGGCGCGGGTAGTCGTGGTTGTGAAGGAGACATAAGACCGGCGGGCGGTGGAGCGGGAGTTCCTGCAGGTGGCAGGCGTCGCCAGAGCGCTTGCCTCGGCGCTGCTGCCGTCGCTGGCGGCGCTGGAGCTGGACAGGGACACCTTCTGTCGGTAGCCGGACGCGTACCCGTCGCCACTGCCGCTACGACCGCCACCACCGAATCCGCCGCCACCCCGGCTGCCGCCACCCTCGGCTTCGGCTTCGCTTGTGTAGGTCTCATCCATGTCATCCTCTTCCTCGATGTACCCCACCACGAGGCTCCTCGCGATTTCGAGGGCAGTCTTGTGAGGTGGATAATAGATATTATCGGGGGCGGGGGGATGTTCAGGACGATACGTTAATAGCGGTGACGGCCATTTTTGTGGATGGCCTTTTTCTGGGGTGGACACTATTGGATCGTGAAGAGGCGTTTTCTTGGTTGCGGGGCAGGTACGGGGGTGTTGCTCATTTTCGGCGATCCGGTGTGGATACCCCGTTTCGCTGTATTGCTGCAAGGTGCTCATCGCCCTGACGCAGCGAGTCAAGGATAGCCGGGTTGGTATTAAGACTGTTGCCATCCTTTCGTGGTCGGGTTGCGCTTCTCTTCTAGGAGTGCAGGCCAGAGAGAATTTTGCGCTTGGTTGGTGGAGCCCGTGTCAAGTCAGGCCTACATCAAGCACCACGGGTTCCACCACCTAGATGTAGCGCGCCGCGGTACGTCACGCTTGTTCAACGCAATCGTACCCTTACACTCCCTCATCAAGAGCATCAGCGGGCAAAACCCGAAAACCACGTGTAGATCCGCCCATGCGTGGGCCCCAACTCCCCCCCCCCCCCCCNAATAAACAACGCATGATGCTGTGGCCCGGCCCATGGAAACCGTTGAGGTAGGTCGTGGCAACTACCCCCGGTAGAGCAGAATTTGAACGAATCTATGAACTGTAAACGGCGCGTTCTTATGTTGAACGACCCGTGTGGTTCGTTGACGACACGGAAGGTGGCTGTCGATGCCCACCTTAACGACGCTGGAAAGTAATCGTCGTAAATTCCACTAACCCAAACCCTAACTTGAGAAGAGGTTAGGCAACAAGAGTTATAGACATACTGGGACTTACGAGAGGCGAGGGAGACGGACTACTCCAAAAGGCGGCGATCAAAACAGGGCGTGTTAGGCGCTGTTGTTTTTGTTATTTTTGTTGTTGATGTTGTTGCTGCTGCTGATATTTGCCAAAATATTCGCTCTGACCTTCACCCTGCACCCCCTTGTCCGCACATGTGCGCAATCAAAGCCAGGACCTAATTTCCATAGGGCCTCTATAATAATCCAACTGAAAGACTTGCGGCCCGGACGTTCGCTTGTTCGCCTACCTTTTCGTTGAACTCCTGCAAGGTGTAGATCGGCAGCTCCTCCGTTCTGGGCATCAGCCGGTTGTTCACCTCTTGCTGGATAGCTTCGTCGGTGAACTTCTCGTTGACCAGCTCCACGAAGCAGCACAGCCGGGCGACACCCTTAGTGGAAAACTGTTTTGTTGTAGCCGTCGATCGAGAAGCAAGCGCGTGCGATCGGCGCATGAGCACAAACAGCAGTGAACCGAAACGCGTCCACAACTACCAGCTTCGTCGATCTCTCGGTCGTGACAGCAAGAGAAACCAAGCTCATCAAAGGACAAACCAAACGCTACCGACCCCGAAACAAACCGTCAGCACATCGCATCGTTTATCAGAGCTAGGGGTTGCCAACCACTCGAAACTCCTCCCCAACACACACACCACAACACACGGACAGTATCAGTGTTGAACAAGGATACCATGCTTTGTTGATCGCGGCCGACAAGATATCTCGCTACGGTACACGCACGCACATGGGGCTGGTGCAGAAATCCAGGTCCTTTTCTGCGGTCGCACCCTTTCGTCACACACCCGCATTCTTCACCAACGTCGAATCAGTCAGTCACTCACTCACTAAGGCCCCATCCTATCGCCCACTAATTCGCTACGGTTTCATCACCATTCATCTAAGAGTGCACACGCCCTCAGCCTTCATCGAAACCCTCTTCCATAACCCCGCCCACCGACAACCCTTCACCGTCCTGCATCTTTCCGAGCATCTTTCATTCCTCACGCCCCTGCCCAAAAGACTCACCCTTCGAGCTTGCTTGCGCACTTCGAGGATCAAAAAGATGGGCGGTATGATCCCCAGCCAAATCGGGAAAAGCGTCTCCTGCACAACCTGGAAATTACCCAACTGGCCGAACGATGAACGTACAAGACCAGAGAGCGATCGGGGTGCGTGTTAGGATTAATATTCAGTTGGAACCTTTCCGCAACTTGGGGGCTTACGGCGAGCTAAGCCCTCGACACTATCGAACATAACGACGCAAGCACCATCGTCGCCGCCGCCACAACCGCCATCCCCTGCCGCCAAAAGTGACAAGCATGCTTCCTGTCTCATAGTAGCTAAACCTGACACACGAAGACACAAGACGAGGCCGACTTCCGCCACTGAGGACACCACCACCACCAAACACGATCGAAGCATACACACAAGGCACTCACGGTGAAGCTGATGTCTATCGCTGAGAATATGAGCTTGTCGGAGCCAGAGACTAGCTCGAGACCTCTGTAGCACTGGACGAGTCCTGCTACGTAGGCGAACCATCCCGCCCAGATATGGAAGTGCTTGTTCACCTGGCGTTGATCAGTTGATGTGATTATTCAAGGACAAAAAACATCATGTATGGCACCGTCGAGAGGAGGGGCGTGGTGCCGCCACTCCGTCTCGTGTGATTCCTCTCATTGGCCCCCAAGCGTATCGATCCTTTCCTTGATAGGCCATGTCACGCTCCAGCAGCCAAATGTCCTGCATTGGTATTCAACCTCTTGACTAGGCCTACAACGCAAGACTAGCGGCATTCTATTTCACATCGAGCATCACTACTGCTTGGGACAACCTATTCCACCACCTTGTTCGGGTAGGAGGTTCAGAGCGCGAATTTGTTCGAGGAGCAGTCGAGTGCCACGCACACACTACCCCAGAAAACACCAAGCATGGAATCCTGACGCCGCACAACACAACGCGGTGGAACAAGCACCCACCCGGTGGAAGAGCGAGAAATTGTTGGATTTTGCCTCCAACGCGCGAACGCGGGCAAAACCGGTCCCGATTTGCAGCACGATAGCTCCGACCATGTAGAAGCCTTGTAAAATATCGCAAGGTTAGGCACCCAGTTAGCCAGCGTCCAAAGGGAAAGGGGGGTGGGAGAAGGAGGAAGGGGTTGGCTTACGATGTTCACCTCTCTCCTCCGAATCCGAAACCACTGCCTGTACCTCCCCCACGGCCTACTGCACGCAATACCGGATTAAACGCAACCGAGAGGGCTACCACTTGGCATGACTCATGCTAGCTGGTCAAGGAGACCCCCACCCAACCCCACCCCACGCCGGCTCATCAACCAGTACAAGAGCTTCTCTACACCGCCAGTCTTTGGATCAACAAAGGAATGGAACTGCGCGTATGCGTCGTTGCACCTGTATTGCGCTATTCAAGAAGATTCCCCCTCCGGCGAAGGAAAACAAGCATAGATAGACATTCTGAGAGATTCCGATGCCGGTTGCCCCCCCCCGCACACACGCACCACACGCACCGGACAATCTTGATGAGTTTGTTTTTGCCATCGACTTACCCCACTTGGCGTGCTCCGAGTCGTGCGAGCCGGAGGTGGTGACAACGGCTGTGATGGCGAGGGGGAGTAGAGCTTCCGCACATATCACCTGTTGTAGTACCATAAAAGGGGGGGTGTACTCATAGTCGTGCATGCCGTAGTCGTTAGACCATTGACCTCGCATCCCTACAAAGCCGGGACGGAGCACGCCGGGTTCTCACCGGACCAGGCTCTCACATCACCAAGCGCGAAGCGCCGTGAGATATTCGGCGAGTCGCATGAAGGGTGCGCTGCATCCTGCTAAGGGTGTTCGGCATCTTGTGCTTACTTCCTTGCGTACGGATGACAGCTGCGTATGAATTAATTTATTTTCTGGTGCTTTCACTTCCAGAGACAGTTGTAAGCACTGTGTAACTGCCTCGAGGGTGCTTGACCATTTTAACACAACGTGGTGCGATCATCCCCCTTGCGCAGAGCAAGGGTTCTCCACCCCGCACAACATGATCTACTCGACCACCATTATGGTTACCGCCAAAAAAAAAAACGGAGGTAAAAAAACAAAAACGGTAACCTGGTTGCCGAGCTCACGAAGTGAATTGGCTTGTTTTACAACGTCTTTGCCAAGCGACGAAAACCCAATCCCGATGGCAAACACCGAGGGGGGCGACTTGTTTTACAACGTCGTTGCCAAGCGACGAAAACCCAACCCCGATGGCAAAACACCGGGGGGGGCACAGATTTCATGGGGTTATTTTTTATGGAGGCCTTCGTGTCGGCATGAGGAAACTATATCAGGACACAACAAAGCACAAACATATCCTAGCGTACTACAGGAGTGGTATAGTGGTGTGCATACAGAGGTATACGATATGCCCCGGGATGATGTAAGCCGAAAGTGACCGCAAATATGGTCCGTGGGCCCTCAGTCACGACGCCCCCATCTGTCGCGCGGGGAAACTTGAACCGCTACCCCAAAGGCAACCCCGTCCTCTTCCCTGCTGCTGCCGTTGTTCTTGGCTTGACATGAAAACCCGTTTGACCTCTATCCAGTACCGGTGGGGTTAAGGGCTAACTCAACATTCTGCTGAATGCGGAGAAAGAAAGCTACATGACTTTGCGTCACTCGGGAATAACAACAGGTAAGGTACGGCAAAGAGTCCAGCGCACCAAACGCACTTACCATGCACTCTTGGTGCATCTCCCACCATTGGTTGCCGATGAACGACTTCTTGCCCTTTCGGTACCTGAGTCAGCCAGAGGAACAGAGATGTAGACAGGTAGACAAGACAGAGGGTGATAAAAACGCAAAAGTGTCAGAAAATGGACTCGGAGGGGGGGGATACAGGCAAAGACGACCATACACAGATCGGTCAGACATGTAGCACACGCAGCGAAAAAAACAGCAGGAGGGAGATGCAGCTGGAAGAAGCTGGGTGTTTCACCTGATAGGGAGGGATAAATGTGGTACCGCATGGTGGATCGTCGGCCTCTTCAACCCAAGCTTCAGTTGAAAAGACCAACGACGATCGTTCGCGCATCGGGACCACGTTGCCTTGCTGGGTAGTTCGCGAAAACAACGCTGAAGGTGGTGTGCCCAAAGCGGGGTAATAAACACGCCTTCAACCCGTCCCCCCACGGACCGGTGCTACGGATTGAAATGACCGTATTCAACCTAACTGACACATAACACTTAGGTTCGGTGTGTTGCTGGTGAAAGACGCCAAGCACTACACCGTGGGCGTGCGGACGTCAAGCACTCGGTCACCTGGAGGTTTTCGCGAGAACTTTCATGAAGGGACACAAACACACAGCAAAACAATGCAAGTAGTCCAACAGCTTGGAACGACTTCCATGCACCACATGGAGCCGGCAGGACAGAAAAGCTTCAATTTTCTTGGACAATCTCAATTTTTCGAGGACCGCACCCCAGCTGTACCGCAACCCAGCTGTACTTCCGAGCATGTACCAGGACAACTCCCCAATGCGGCAATTTGACTTCTATCTACATACAGCTAGCTGCCCGGGGGCGGAGACCTGTTGATATCCTAAATAGCAGGCCGACCAAAGGGGGGAGTTATGAGGTATAGTCTATATCGTGCTCGTTTTTAGGGTAGTCTCCTCACCGGGCCTGGTAGATCCCGTAAGGCGCGATTATCATCCACGCGACAAGTAGCAGGGCGCCGTGGAGGGAGAAGTACTCTCCGGAGTCAGTGCACTGCTCGCTATCGACCGAGCCATCCTGAAAGTTGACCAGGGCCGCCCCGCGTTGGCTGTTGGGGTGCTTGCCGATGCCCTCGCCGGAGCGCCAGGAGTAGATAATGGAGGTATCTTGGGAGAAGTATATGTCGTCGCTGAGAAGGTAGTCCTGATGTATGTATTGTGTTGTCGCAGGGGGGACCAAACGCGGAGGGTTGCTGGGAGGGCTGGTGTTCATCTTTCGTTGCCCTTGCGGCATTGTGCAAGGAAAGTTGCGCAACAACAGTCGTCGCTACGCGTATTGTTGGAATGCCACTTACACAGAGAACCCTATGTTAGATATACAACATATCCACTGAGCTAAATAGTCAGCGCTGACTGTTTAGCTCAGTGGATATAGACTAGACTATATTATGTTGTATATCTAACAAAAGTACAACCAGGGTCCGAACAGCTGTTAGGCTGTCGGACTCTGGTTTTCCCCCAGGGTTGTAATTCCTGTAATCAGCGCTGCCCCAAGCGGTTCATCGGCTTACAGGCGGGGATATGTGTCTTCATCATTGACGACTGGTGATGTGTACCATGACTGACTTTCAGGTGTGTATCCCAGACTTTTTTTTTTCTGCTGAAAAAAGGCGTCAAGATGGCTCCCAGAGGGATTCGAACCCTGGATGTACTTTTGATATTGTATTCACAGTCCACTAAGCTAAACAGTCAGCGCTGTGGATATGTGGTATATCTATCAAAAGTACATCCAGGGTTCGAATCCCTCTGGGAGCTCCTCTGGGAGCCATCTTGACGCCTTTTTCCAGGAGAAAGAAAAAGTCTAGGGTACACACCTGAAAGTCATGGTACACATTACCAGTCGTCAACGATGAAGACACCTACTATCCCCGCCTGTAAGTCGATGGGCCGCTTGGGGCAGCGCTGATTACAGGGATTACAACCCTGGGGGGTTACAACCCTGGGGGAAAACTAGAGTCCGACAGCCTAACAGCTGTTCGGACCCTGGTTGTACTTTTGTTAGATACACGACATATCCACTGACCTAAATAGTCAGCGCTGACTGTTTAGGTCAGTGGATATGTTGTATATCTAACACCCTACTTCTCACTCTTAAATTGGATGTGTGTTTTCCTCAATCTACCGCTGCAGTTCGCGACTAGCGGTCGCCATGACTAGGTAGGGCCATCTCTTCCTGCGAGCACGGTTTATTGCGGCGCGATTGCTTCTCACTTAGTCGTCGTGCACCAACACACAGAACATGCTTCACCCGCTGCCACGGAGAAATTTTGTGGACGACATCGCGGCGCATTTGTTCACTCAGACTCGACAAGATCTCTGGAATCTGTCTAACTGTACGAAAATCATGCCAACACGTTTGGCCTCGACACAGCCTGAGTAAGTACTTCCGCCCGCACACCCAGTGGTTGTTGAGTTTCAGATGCAAAATATCACCGGAGATGATTTTCAGGAGTAAGGAAGTGGGCAAAACCTTGCCAAATCCTAGATAACAATTTCTGCAATTTGACGGCGTATACTCAAAAAATACCTCTTGCTTTCAATGTACACGACGGGGTGATGATTCTCGGGATCGGAAGTCTACCCTCACACACCCTAGCAACAACAACGAGATAGATGTTGATGCTGACCCTCTTTCGCTTTCCCCCGTCCGTCCCTTACCGAGTCGTCGGTGCCCTCGCCGGAGCGCGCGAAGGTGACGCTGGTCCACTCCCCGTCCACGCTCACGCTTACCACATCGAGGTCCGTGTTCTCCTCGTCATCCAGAGGCGGCTCGGACCGCCTGCAAAATTCGTAAGACACCGCCCCCGACAGACGCGTTGGCCAGCCGCGATCACCACGATCGACACGAGCTACAAGATAAAACGGATAAGAAGAAACAAATATCGTCACGCGCGGCAATAATTAAAATGTTTTCTTCCTATTCTAGGTTCCGCGGAGACTGACGGGCTCGTCACTTTGGCCAGGCGAAAGCGCGGTCGATGACACGATAAGACGTGCCTACAAACGTTGCACGTAAACGTAATCCGTTCATGAAAAAGTGAGGGCGGTCCCAACGATGCTCGAGCCGCAAAACGCACGACACCGACCGGAAAATAAGGGAGAGCTTTTCGTGTATTCCGCAAGCAGAACCAATCGGCGAAATCGCGGGACTTGCTCGCTCCCCAGGAGGCCTGTTCGCTCGGTTGCCGCCTCTGCCATTCGGGAACATTCAAACAGCCCCTTGATTGACTCACCCCCCGTGTGCTATTGACCGCTGTCTAACTTGTGCCGTTTTTTTTTACACTTCACGGCTTCCCTGGTGCACGACGAACCAATACTCTGTAGCCCGAGCTGGCTCCTCTCACGCGCCCCGGCAACGAATGTCTACACCCCGATTTCGAGCTCGCGTCACCCACCATCAAGATGGTGCTCACTCCACCCGCAGGACCCTTCCACAATCCTTTGCCTGTCCTTCCTGTCTCTTTGCCTACCGGTCCATTTGTGTTTCTCGTCCCCGTCTACCTGTCAGTCTGTCTGTCTGTCTGTCTGTCTGTCTGTCTGTCTGTCTGCACTCACTCCCTGGGCGCGCTGCGGTCTGTGCACTCGGCCGAGGTCTCCGACTCGACCACGCAGATGACGAAGTCGTCCGCGGTTTCCATGCTCAGGCCTCCGAACCCGATTGCCTTTGACACAGTGAGAACAAGTGACACGGCATCATGGCGTGCGGCTCAGAGGTGGACACATACGAACGGCAGCAGGAAAAACCGCGGCAACAGTACAAGACACACAAGCAAAAGGCAATACAACTAGGGCCATACCGGTTAGAGCGAGACATGCACAAGGGGCATGCCGTACAGAAAGATCCTAAACACCATGCACAATCACAAGAGAGACCCGCCCACGAATTTCCGCCGAACGGGAACGCTGCTACGACGAAAGGCATACACACAAGAAAAATCGTACTATTCACAACGGTTTCAGCGAGTGAGGGAGCTAGCGAGTCACTTGCCGTTGGAACAGCTGCGTTTTCAGAATCCGTACGATCCAACACGAGGGATAAACTTTAGATCGAAGGCGTGTTTGATGCGTAGAAATACGCCCTTCTATCTTAACAACGCCATCTATCCAACAACCGACAAACGTGCTTGGAACGAGACACCGGGAATCGTACAAACGCGCTGTACCCTACATTAACTGCGAAGTGCCCCCGAACCACCCGTCCCCAATCCAAGCAATACGAAATGCTACGTGCGTTACCCGCAAGAACCACGTCAACACTCGTGCACAACGCTGCCGCACGTGCGCCCCCTTGACTGCAGCACGGCACTGACAACTTCATCGGCACTCACGATCATGCCCTGCCCCTCGATACCCCTCGCCGAGAGGGTGATGAAGATGTTCCCGCCTTCTTCGACCAAGTCCGACTGATTCCAGGCCAGCTTATAGCTTTGGCGAATGGGTTCCATGGCGGATAGACACGCACAGCGAGACGAGAGGAGAAGGGCAGTGATTGAAGAACGCTCGCCGCAGACACAAGGGGTGCTACGTGTTGCTATTTGCCCTTATGCTGAGACCGTTGACCGGGCATGCACCTCTTCCGAGACAGAAGAGAGAGGGAGGGCTACTGGGGTCCCTTGCTCTCTCGATTCAGTTAGGGTTTGAACCAGCACCCGCCACCCAACTCGTCGACCCGCCCCCTCCAAAAACATCCCCCTTCACATCCCCCGCGCCACGAACACTAACCCTTCCGCGAGCGTCACTTCGTTCATCTCGGTGGAGGAGCAGTCGGATGACGTCACCAGATCGGGGGCTGAGAAGGAGTCGAGCGGAATGGATGACACCAGTGAGTTGTTGAGGATGAGGTTCGTAAGGGTCGACAGAGCGGCGTCCTCGTTCTGGGTGGAGTGGGAGTGGTGATGCCGGTCTCCCACGATGGCTCTGTAAAGTTGCTCAAGAAACACCATCTACATACACGCGAGAGGGAGGGGGGGGGCGGGAGGTACGGTGGGCGACGAGGAAATGAAGCTGGGATCAGTAAAACGAAAAAAGAGGGCAATGAGGTGGGAACTCCGTTGGCCGCAGGAAACACGAGCAGCTTACGCGAGGCTCGACGAGCGCATGCATGTGGGTACAACGTGCCGGCCTTCGTCCCGCACGAACGCTGGTAATCGAAACACACCACGCCCATTCGCTAAACACAGTCCCCCCCCCTCCCCTTTCCCTCTCACGCGCACGAAATGTCACCGAGGGTGCACAATACAAGAATGAAATCATGTTATACACTTGAATGGGTAGCCGTCGTTTGTTTCCGACAAAGTCAAGGGAATCTCCAACGAGCTACGCCATCGACGGCACGGATGCTGAACTACCAAACAGTATCCGAAACGACAAGCCATTTGCAGGTGATACCCGAGGCTCGTTGACAGTGTAAAAAAAGCGGTGATATTTTCAAGAGAGAGGACAGCAAGGAGTCCCCTCACAAAACTGTGGTGCCAAACTCTCAACTCTCGAAGGAAATACCGCGCGATTAACGTTGACACAATACACGGGACACAACCGATACGGGACGCTACCCCTTCTCCTTGCAAGCAACCAACCATAAATCAAGACTCCTCCTGCTCGGTTTGATAACATTCATGTCACGACCCCCTCTTGCTCTTACCCGCAGCAGGGGCCCCGCGAACAGGCCGCTCCCTTCTTCCGTCTCCGCCAGCGCCCCCGTGTAGGCGTCTAGCAGGTCAACGTCGTTGCCGTAGGCCGCGCTGAGCGTTGCCTGCACCGTCGTGTCCGACGTGATCTCGGTGAAGGTGTCGATTCGTGACAGCCGGTACGCTTCTCGGGCGTCGTTGTACGACGGGACACCTTGACGGGGCGAATACGAGAGGCAAAACGGGGAGTTTGACGTAGAGGAGGGGTACAGAGGAGGGCGGGGACGGGGCGGGGCGGCATCGGAGCCGAGGAGCGAAAACCAAATATCGCTGTCGAAGAGAGGTTGAGATACAGCAGCCTGCGCAGGAGAGCTGTTCGGTTGCCTGTGAACTGCATGGATGGGGAAATGTTGCACATCACCCCTCGGACATTATCCAACGCTGGTGAAAACTGCCCCCCTCCGTCACGACCGGCCCGACCAGCGCGCGCGTTGACTCCGGTCTGTACCATCCAAAGCCGTTCATATAACATGATGCTCCCACCCCGTTCAAGGCGAGTATCGCGGTCGTCATACACTCTCTTCCAAGAAAAAAATGACGCGCTAGAATCGCCATCGCCTTCGCTTTTAGCCGCAGCCAAAGAAGAGAGGGGGTTTTGATGTCATTGGACTAGAGCAGGCGCAGGCCGAACGGAGTAAAGTCTGTTTACTCGGTAGCTCGGTGGTGTACCATATACTCTAACGAGCGGAGACCGGAACGCTTTATAATGCAAAACGACAGCAACAGCAACAACAACACCCATCCAGCAATAACAATACGTTCGACACCCGTCTACATCGCCTCTACTTTAACCGCTTGGCACCTTCTCCTGCTACACTATCCTCATCTTCATGTGCGGGCTTAAGTGCAGCCACCCCCCCCCTTCCAAGGGGGGCGGGCGGAGCCCCCTTGTAATAAGAGGGACAACTCTTCAGCGCCCTCCCCCGCCCCCGCCTCCTCGCGCTCACCATGATCACGCCCCCTCTGGATCACCTCGACGGGAAAGTTGAACAGAGGCGACGACACCGAAACCTCGGCGACAAACGAGGCGTCCATACCCCGAGCGCGCGCGTGGTAGGCTCCCCTGATGATAGGCTCTATTCCGCCGATCCGTGTCACAAGCCCGGCGAGATCTGCGTTCGCCGTGGCTAGCTCCACCTCGTGCTGATTTGTACGCGGGAATGGCATTGCAAGGTTCGTGCGGGGGGTTTGTAATCGTGGGGTGGGAGACCGGCAAGAGCGAGGTGCGAGCGACGGGGTCCCAGACGACTCGGGGGAAGGGTTGAGAATGCCATCGCGGATCGATGACCCCGTATCCCCACTGTTCCCCACGTTGTGTTTCCACGACAAATCGTCCTCGCATCGTCTCTCTCTCACTCAACCATCGTAACTCTATTCAGCGAATCGTAGATCAAATACTCACCACATTTGAAGGCCGAGCACAACGTTCCAGATCAAAACGCATCCCTCTTTTCCAGTGCACGATTCCTTTCGCCATGGTTTTCAAGCCAAAGGCGCGCAAGTTTGTTTCGCTTACTACCCTCGACGGAAAATCAAGGACCTCGGTACCCCCAGCCATCGCAGCGGCTTCACCAGCCAAACGAAAGCATGGCAGCTTTGTTCGGCTGTGTAGTCTGATTCTCCATGCTTAATTCGTGTGATGGGCAGAGCAAAACCTGTCGAGATCTATGACCTTCTACTGCTGTGAGGATGAAACAATGTGTTTGTGGTATCTACGGCCTCAAGACAGTAGCTGTGCCAGCACGGACGCACCTCGGCCATGACTTCGAAGCTGTCGTCCAGGAGCCCTACCGTCGACGGGAGGGCAGAGTACAACGCCGGCGCCGCGACGGTGGCGAAAAAGACGTCCGTCCCGGCGTTTGTCCCGGCGTCGTAGCTGCCGTTCGACTGCGTGAGGTACCTGCGGCGAATCAGCCACGACAAACCGGCACAAGAGGGGTGAGATTCCCAAACCACGAGAACAGAAAAACGTGTCGCCGACAGCGGAGTTGGACACGTTTTCCGGTTGCGAAGGCGTCTGGGAGCGCAGCGCAGGTGTACAAGAAAAAAGCGAGACTTCAGTACCGGGATCGGACGACGTTCTCGAGGTCGCCTAACCGCCGTCGCCGCCTTCTGCCATCCGTCTCCTCGCCATGGTCGTCAGGGTCATCGTCGTCGTCGTCATCATCGTCGTAGGCAGCGGCGCCGAGGACCTTAACACTACCGCCCACAAATCGGACGGACCAGTCGTTCTCCGTGATGTGCTGAAACACCGCGATGGTCCACTGCCGACAGAACTGGAATGCATCCTGTCGTCGAGAGAGTGGTTGTGTACGGGCTTAGGAAGGACGGCTGTCAGAGGGGACAATACAGCCTGAAGCCGGTGGCCTTTTGCATGCTGCACATTCGTGCAAGCACGTCGCCAGGCACGTCCACCACAGAGTAAGTTGTGAAATTGAAGGTGTCTGTTGCAGCAAGAAATGGTACAATAGTAGAACAAGATTTCCACTCCCATGCTTGCCGCAGCGGCTATTCTTTTCCCATATTCTACCTTTGTCCACCATGTGCTCTCTTTCCGTGGAAACAGAGCAGAAATATGGCCCATTCGCACTTGCTGCGGACAGTGACACGCCGCTTCATCTAGTCGAACGCGTACTACATAGGCAAGCACAAGTTAGCGCGTTCATCAAACGACGGCAGATCTTCATGACATGACCGGACCTCATCGTTCGCCGGGTCCCATTCCGGCGCCATCTCGTCGCAGCACCGGTTGTGCCCCCTCAAAAGCAGGGTCATGAGTGCGAACGTCACGGGCAGTCTCGCCGGCCGTTGATCTGCCACCTGCCACACGTCGTCGGCTCAAGGAGCAGCGGTCGAGACCCAGCAAACATGAGGGGCATCGCCAACAACCGAAAAAAACAAAAACAAAGAAAAGTCTAGGCAACTATTTTCACACATGTTTTATTCCGAAAATCGACACGAAAAACGGCTCCTACGTAGCATAGCAGGCGCTCGTCGAAGGTGCCACCTGAACGATGCATCAACACCTTCGTGACCGGGATACTGCAAGGTGGTCCCCGACCCCCGCCCTGCTCCGTTACACGGGGACCCAACCATTCCCCAAACTCGCTATCGTAGAGCTTTACCATCGCTCTTGTACTTGGCGTAGGCTGTCGGGTTCACTCACGAGCCAGGTGCCGTCATCCAGGAGGTGCGGCAGCTCGTCGTCCGTCATGTTCATGTAACCCCCGTCTTCCGTTCGCAGCGACGCCGAAGTCGCCTCGTCCCTCCCGTACAGCCAGTCCAGGTCTACGAAGGCCGTCGCGTAGTTGATCGGACTCCTGGCCTCTTCGCCCCCGGCGTCTTCCCCGGCCTCCGACCTGCTGAACGGGATCGGGTCCGAAAGCGAACCCAGGGGGCACCAGACGTCCCTGATCTCGGCGTCGTTACACGCAATGTCCAGCGGCTCGGACGCGTTGTCCAGCGTGAGGAAGAGGTCGTACCCGACCAGCAAACCCCACCCAACAAACAAAGCGTTGGCCGTCGAGCTTGTCGACGGATTGGCGAGAAACACCTCCGACAGGACCTCTCTACGCGGTGCAACGGCCGGCCCGTAGGGGCCGTGGCGACGGCGGCAAGCAGTTTATGTGCGTTGCACGCGAGCGAGGGACGGGAGGGGGAGCGGGGGCTGGTTAGTTGTTCCTACGACAGCGTGTGGCCGAAAAACATCGGAAGAAACACGACACCGACGGCCGGTGTGAGTCGAGCGACGGTTGGCGGATCGAGAGAACACTACCAAAACACCTACTGATGAATGAGCGCGCACAGCGTCCAGGAGCCATTACCCGGCAAAGCCGTTGCTATGCGGCTCCAAAGACGGACAAGAGAGATCAAGGGAGGTGGGGAGGGGGCGGTCGCCACCCAAAGCCCCTGTGGTCACCTCGCTGTTGGGCGATCGTCCCCTGGTGGTTCTGAATCCCCGTCAGCGTAGCTAGCCTCCGTTATGCTGCGGAGCTGGTGGAGACGGAGTAGGCGGTCCACGAAGAGAGGGATAGAGGAGGGGAGGGAATTTGCCTCAGCATGGTGAGGGGGGCTCGTGCATGGGCACGGCTCCTGCTGTATGACGGTGCTGTACGCTCACGAAAGATGGCATGATAGCGAGCAGCAAAAGAGATACTACGCACCGAGCTGAGACCAACAGCACATCCACACTCATGGAACCAATCCAATGCAAGTGCTCTATGGTAGCCCTGTTGGGGATGCTGCCGAAAACTCAGAAAGCAGAAAGAACACCGCCAGTCGTGTAATTTATAGCGCAAGCGGGTGCATTGTTGGGCGCTCTTGCGAGGGTCCAGAGTCTAGACCATACGGGATCAAATGAGTGAAAGGTTTAACTTTCAACCCGTTAAACCCGTCCACCTTGTGCAATACCGAACGCACCGTCGTCAGCAAAAATAACATCAGTATTGGTGTCTTGTCCACCTATTTTCTTACCTGTCTCTGCCCGACGCTTCCCCATTCAGGTTGGTCAAGGTTGTTTCCTGCGTAAACAGCAAGGGGAGCATTGGGGGTGGGCGATGTTGTGACTTTTCTTTTCGAGGGAAAGAAAGTCGGCTTTGCGGACAAAAGGGGGTCCGGAAAAACGAGGGAACCAAGTCCACATATTTGAGGCCCGACGCTCGATCATCCGATCTACGGAACTGGGTGCCCAAGCGTAAGCAGAATCTGAGGCACAAAGGCAATGCATATTGCTGTTGGAAAATGTGACGGGCGCCTCGTGCGGGAGATTCGAATTGGGGAAATGGCTCACGCGACGTGAGCTCAACGTGGTATCCATGTGGGTCTTTGACCAATGTCTCCTCGAGGACCATCCACCAGCCTCAACATAAAACCGTTTTTCTTGGGTCCCTGACCGCGTGATACTTAGGTATACGTGCCCATTGCCTCTGGTGTTTTACATACTACACCTCTAACATCGGGGAATACGCTGCCACAGAAATTGATATACAGCTGAGAGATTCAATTGGGTTTGATAATTCCTACTTCGTAGAATATATCTGCAGATGTTGACACACTTTCTTGTTTGCCGTTTTTTGCCGTACCGCACACGACACTTTACCGTGCCTGTTGCACGGATCGAAGACCTGGTAAGCTGAAAGTGGACTGTGCTGTTGCCATGCCCCTACCAGGGGGAAGACACTAATCCTACGACCTATACGACAGTTTCGAATATTTAACACGCCTTCCTCATGTTGTACGCCGCCGAGGGTGCTGCAAATATGCTGTTGATCGATGCCGTATTTCTATGGAATAGGGCATTATTGAGAAAATAACTTCAAACATGCAAATCGTTCCCTGTTTATTCCGAAGCGAAGAAGCTCCATAGCCGGAGCAATTCAAGATTCTCTTCGTTTGCGCCGGGTTTTCTTTTGCATCGGGGGTGGTGCAGCTTTTGGAGCTTGTGCTCTCGGAGAGCGAGCGGAGGGCAGCAGTGCAGCGCTGAAGCACAATATATCGCCATTCAGGTAGTGTATGTGGTGTATGAAGCGGAGAGCAAGCGGCAGAGCAGTTCAGCAGTTGAAGTACTTCACATCAGCTGCTATTTGTATCGTCATTTGTCGCTATTTGTATCGCCATTTATTCTTGTGTGTCCTGTGTGTGGTGTTCGTGAAGCCCTGAAAAAGAGAGTTGGCCGTATTTTTGTGTACACCTTGTGTACACCTCACCTCTTGAAATAATAACCTACCATGGTATCTCCTCGGTTCTGAACCCTCTTACAGCATTAGCCTGGCACACCCCAGATTCTTTGTTTCGGTCCAAGACAAGATGTAAACAAGTCTTTCTGTGTGTGTTGTTGTTGTTGTTGTTGTTGTTGTTGTTGTTGTTTTCTTCACATTGAACTCGTGTCAGTTGCCATTCCCAAAATCTAGCAAAGACTCGGTCCGTGGTCACAAAAATGCTAGAGCCACCAGAAGATCAAAAGAACACGCACACTATTGGCAAGAAACGGGTAGGTGCACAAACCCGAGGAGGTACACCTACAATCCCTGCAGCACGTTTGCGTGCTCACAACTGAACTACACGCACACACTTGTTTTTGTACGTCTGACTGTCTGCCCATCTGCCGCCTCTTTGTCCTGTTTGCTCCGTTACTCCCATGCCCTGGTGCGTGGTGCCTGGTGCTGGAACGTTACCCTTTGATTTTTGCATTAGGCGGGTGTGGGAAGCGTCCTCCTTAATTTTTTTTTTATTTTGATCGGTTTCCGAGGGCGGCTCTTTTGTCGAACGGTCGGTGCGGTAGCTGTTCTTTCCTTTCTATCATTTTGTTTTTTTTTTCGGATTGGTTTGTACCCTATTTTTGTTTCGTTTCCCCGCGGCGTCGTATGTGCCGGGTTTTGAGACCACGGGCTCCCCATTTTTTGTGGACTAGTCTAAAGAGCATATGTGAGAAACAACAACAACAACAACAACACTACAATTCGACTACAGCAGCAGAATCACCCCCCTTGTCCCGCATTCAACCAACATGAATGTTTGTCGACTACAGCGTACTGCTGTCTGAAGTGCCGTCTGTACAATGATAACACCATGGTGCATGGTACACAAGCTCGGGGCATGCAGCTGCTGTCTGAAGTGCTGTCAGAATGAGTCCGTGGACATACAATGATGAAGGACAACCAACCAAAGCCATCATTGCAATTGACAATCACCCGAATCTATCCAGATCATCTGTGTTAGACACAGCAGTGTAAACATCGACACTGACTGGGAATCGATCCACATTGAAGGAGTCTTCCACGACGCAGGTACGCAATTAAGGCACCCGGGTTATCCGCGCCATCTCTGCCGCGTNTCCGTGGACATACAATGATGAAGGACAACCAACCAAAGCCATCATTGCAATTGACAATCACCCGAATCTATCCAGATCATCTGTGTTAGACACAGCAGTGTAAACATCGACACTGACTGGGAATCGATCCACATTGAAGGAGTCTTCCACGACGCAGGTACGCAATTAAGGCACCCGGGTTATCCGCGCCATCTCTGCCGCGTTGTTCTCCACCACCAGTGACGTACGTCATCACACACACCGTCGCACACGCCGGCAAGGTGCTGCTTAAGGTCGTCGCTACACGACTGAGCTACTACTACGAGCGAGAGGGCATCCTCCCGGAGGAGCAGAGCGGTTTCCGCCCACACCGGTCGACGCTCGACATGCTGTTTGCCATCCAGCGGCTCCATGAGCTCGCGAGGAAGAAGAGTACTGCGGTGTTCGCGTGCTTCGTCGACCTCACCAAGGCATACGATTCGGTGGACCGAGACCTACTGTGGGACGTGCTCCGACGCTTCGGCGTGCCCCCGAAGATGCTGGCGGTCATTCGCCACTTCCACGAGGGCATGAGGGCGCGCGTCCGAACGGACGACGGGCAGTACTCGGAATGGTTCGACGTGGGCCAAGGCCTCCGACAGGGACGAAACCTGGCCCCGCTGCTGTTCAACTTGTTCTTTGCCGCGATGCTCATGGTCGCCGTGGCCGAGTTCGACAAGGACCCCAAGGTGACGGCGGACATGGTCAAGATCGGGACACAAGTGGAGTACACGGGCAAGAAGGGCAGGTCGGCGGGGAAGAAGACGACGGTGGTGACGGACGCGGAGGCCTTGTGGGCCATGCTCTACGCTGACGACGCGGCCATCGTCTCGCGCTCGCCGGAGAGTCTCGAGAAGATGATGTCGGTCATCGTGCGCGTGGCCGGCCTGTTCGGACTGATGGTATCGGAGCCAAAGACGGAGATCATGTGCATGCTGCCGAAAGGGATCGAGGAACGCCCGTTCACGGTCAGCGCCGCCGGCCAGACGTTCAAGCAGACAGATCAGTCTGTGCACCTCGGACGTGCCATCTCCGCGGGCGGGAAGGACGACCGGGAGATCACGAGCCGCAGCTGCCGAGCGTGGAAGTGCTACCGCCGGAACAGTGCTTCAATGTACGACAGGCGACGGGCCGACCGCCAGCTCAAGATCCGGCTACCCCAGGCTGAAGTGGTGGAGACTCTCCTGTATGGGTGCGCCTCGTGGAGCCTAACAGCGGAGCACTACACGAAGCTCAATGGGACCCACCGCCAGTTCCTCACACGGTGCATCGGCTGGAGCAAGCGGAAACGCTCCGACCGCCCCCTGTCCTATGCCCAGGCCCTCATCCAGGCAGGCTACGAGGAAATCATCGAGGCCACCGTGCGCAAACGGAGACTACTGTGTTTCGCGGGCTTTGTTATGCGCATGGAGGACAGCCGCCTCCCCAAGCGCATGCTCTTAGGAGCGATGACAGGGGGCGTGGGATACCGGGGCGGGGAGGAGAGCGACTGGGTGTCTCGTCTAGAAGAGGACCTCGTGGCCTCCAACATGGGAGACGACAAGGAAGGGGGGTAAATGGAAAGAGAGCGCCAAGGACCCAGAGGTGTGGTACAACAAGGTCGAGGACGGGGCGGCATGGCTCATGACGAAATGGCACAGGCAGGAGGCGCAAGCGTCCGCGAAGCGCCAGCGCGCGAAGGAAGCAGAAGCAGAGAGTACGNAAGAGGACCTCGTGGCCTCCAACATGGGAGACGACAAGGAAGGGGGGTAAATGGAAAGAGAGCGCCAAGGACCCAGAGGTGTGGTACAACAAGGTCGAGGACGGGGCGGCATGGCTCATGACGAAATGGCACAGGCAGGAGGCGCAAGCGTCCGCGAAGCGCCAGCGCGCGAAGGAAGCAGAAGCAGAGAGTACGGCCATCTCAGGACCGAAGAGAAAGAGAGTCGGGGAAGCGGCGGTGGGGGGGAAGAGACGGCGACTGGGCACTGCTGTAGAAGCGAGTAGTGTTTGCGGCCTACGCCACTTATTTATCGGGTGAGACTGTTTTGGTATGTATTAACTTCACGACAGGTAGATGACCGTCCTTAACACGGACGAAAGAGGGAGTGCTCAAAGAGCGGCTCCCANGACGGCGACTGGGCACTGCTGTAGAAGCGAGTAGTGTTTGCGGCCTACGCCACTTATTTATCGGGTGAGACTGTTTTGGTATGTATTAACTTCACGACAGGTAGATGACCGTCCTTAACACGGACGAAAGAGGGAGTGCTCAAAGAGCGGCTCCCACAGCAAGGAGGGGCCCCGTGAATCATCGCGGTGCCCTCTACCAAACGGCAATCTTACCAGTCTGCGTGACACCAAATCATCCAGCACATGTATCCAACAACAACGTTCGCAGACCCACGAACACCCTCCCTGGTTCTTCACGCAAGTGACTAACTATCAATGGGGCAAGAACGCCCCTGGATACATAAAAAAATGCCATCATGGTAATATATGGAGGGGAAACCCGGCGTCCGGGCAAAACCCATCGAAAAAAAAAACTACCACCACAAAAACCGTCGCTATCACAGCGGACCACAACGGCCGCACTTATTAGAGAAGCCAACGCGAAGACAAGAACGCGAGGAACTACGTTCCCCCGGACGACGGTCTCCCAACGCCCCCTACTCCTGCCATTGGTACACAGACCGCAACAGTTATGCGCCTTTCCCCGCACGGAAAACATGACTTCTCCCAAGTGCTAGAAACTGCTACAGCTACTCCGGCATATTCATCAACTNAGCCAACGCGAAGACAAGAACGCGAGGAACTACGTTCCCCCGGACGACGGTCTCCCAACGCCCCCTACTCCTGCCATTGGTACACAGACCGCAACAGTTATGCGCCTTTCCCCGCACGGAAAACATGACTTCTCCCAAGTGCTAGAAACTGCTACAGCTACTCCGGCATATTCATCAACTTGCGCCGGTGATACTGCAGACTAGCCCTGCTAAGGGCCTTGGTTAGGAGGTCCGCGTGTCGCTCCGTTGTCGGAACGAACTTGACCGAAATATCCCCCGACCCAAACAATCCGCGGATGAAATGAAATCTCACGTCGATGTGTTTCGTGCGACCTGAGCTGAGGGGGTTCTGCACCAACGCTATGGCCCCCTGGTTGTCCTCAAGGACCTGGATGCTGCTACCACTGGTCTCTGGGGCAACAAACGAAAGCACAGCACGCACAAACAACGCCTCCTTGACGCGCAGCTTGGGCCTCCTCCCTGCGCTCGAACAGCAACTCTCGCACCGCCCTCGCCTCTAGCCCTTCCGCCACGTAAAGTACCGCCGAGAGCATCAAGCTGATGAACTCCTCCGTGCTGCTGACGGGCAGGCTTGCCACCGAGGCGGGCAGGGCTTCGGCACTCGTTGGCGACGAGGGCAACTCGTACCTCGGGTTTCGGCGAGGGTTCTCCCTGGTGCGGCGGCTGTTTAGTTCCGCCGACTTAACGAAGCGGGCGAGCCGCCGGGCCTCTGGCCCACGGAGCGCCGGGAGATCCGTCTCGCTGTCACTGCCGCTGCTGCTGTCGCTGCCGCTGTCATCGCCGCTGCTGCCGCCGCTGCTCGTTGCTAGTCTGTCTTGGGCTCTTTTCTTAGATAGAGATGGATTCGTTGTGTCATATTTAGCAAATCAAAAAGTAAAAAAGAAAAATATTGACATTACAAGAGATGTTTGTCCGTACGTCACGATTCGATGCCATCCGCATGCTCCGGTTCCGCTGCTCCGGTTCCGCTGCTCCGATGCCGCTGCTCCGGTGCCGCTACTCCGGTGCCGCTTCTCCGATGCCGCTGTGGCCAGTCCTAAAACGACCAAACTCGACCCGCTCCGCTTCGTACACGCTCTCGTTGCTGCCCTCCCCAGTCGGTTCCTCGCTTTCTCCCTCGTTGCACCTGGGGTTCTTGGTCTGGAAACTCTCGCGCCGAAGGTTCAACCAGCCCAATCAGCTCGTCACCACCTGTCCCCTCCTCCTTTGATGGCAAAACCAGGCTACTACGGAGACAGTACAGCTCCCTCTAGCAAACCTAGGGCCGTGTACATAGTGCCCGTCCACCTGTCTGATGGCGTCTGCCTCCGCGCACAAAGATGAAATGGGCATTGCTGCCTACACCGACGGCCTGGAGGCCCGCGCATCTGCCTCTTTGTACCTGACGCACCAGTGCCGACCCAACTCCACCACTACGCACGCCTCGCGGCGGGTGCGCCGCAGCAAGAAGGTATCGGTCCCTTGAGGGTGAGTCTAGCCCTGCTCGCTAGAAAGACCCCCCCCTCAATGGTCTAACCGCTAAGACATGCAAAACATAAGAGTACGCCCCCCCCCCCCCCCCCCCCCCCCCCCCCCCCCCCCCCCCCCCCCCCCCCCCCCCCCCCCCCCCCCCCCCCCCCCCCCCCCCCCCCCCCCCC